TTTCATCAACCAGGTTTTATCCTGAGCTGTAGTATGCGAGAGAGGTGGGCGAGGTTTGTAAAGCGACTTTGAGCAATGCCTACTTGTGCAAGGCTGCAATAAGGCCTCCGACAAAGAGTCTGTGAGGAGAGCAGGTACAGAGCGAGGCTGAGGTCGCCTACAATGCTTCTTTTGATGTTAAAAAAACGGAAATAATTAAGGATAATTTATGCCTTTCCTGATGTGATGTGCAGACAGGTGAAAATACATTAACAATATTAACAAACGTTAAAGAAAGATATATGTCAAAAATGTAGGATTTAAAACATTGTCCTCTGAATGTCAGCTAGTTAACATTAGTGGCGCCCCCCCCAGTGTAGCATTAATAAGCACTACATAAACATTGTTTATATCTGCTTTCAGTAATCTTCGTAGTGTATCATCAGGACATTTTATCAATGTGCAGTATTTGCCAACATGTATAATCCATATTTTATATTATCACAACTGGGATTTACTTTATTGCCATTCATGATGCGTTTACCACGGCCTCTCCTCTAAACCTTGTGTGTGTATGACTCAATGGAAGTTCCTTATCTAAAATAATACATTCATGTACTTCGCTGATATTCTGAACATACCTGTTGAACAAGCTCGCTAGAGGTCCCAGTTTCTTTTGTCTGCCCTCCTCTTCCTGTTGCGTGACCCCTGACCCCGGGTGCGGTCGCACTGGGCTCCACGAGTCTCCGGGCGACGACAGTGTCACGTCGGAGAAATGAGCGGCGCCGCTATCATCCGTCTCCAAGGTAACAATGGCGCTGGAGTCAGACGTGACGGTGAGATCCAGGATGTCCTCGTTGGAGACCGACAGCTCTGTGCTCATGCTGGACACGCTGCACACAGAGATGTCATCGCTTCGGTTCAGAGCTCCGCGCCCGAGACCCGTCCCCGTGGTTGCGGATAGTCGGAGGGCGGGGCTAAAGAGGCGGATGGAGTCGTACCCGCTGCGGGGGAAGGTGGAGGATTTGCGGATGGCGTTGCCATCGGACGGATCGTCATCTAAAGTCAAAGTGGCAGGAGAGTAGGAACTGGAGTCCCGGATAAAGCCTCCGTCACCTGGGCGTTGGTGGCCGTGGAGGATGGGCTCCGGAGGGTTGATCTCCAGAGTTGGGATACCCGAGTCCTGGGAGGTCAAGCTGTGGCTGTCCTGGTTCAGGTCTGAGTAGCTCTTCTGGGGGCTGCAGTAGTAGATGGGGGTGGGGGAGCAGGACGGCCGGTAAGTGGGCAGGACGGACCCACTGTGCAGGATCGTGCTGGGTTCATGGCAGCGGTGGTTGGCACCATCGTGGAGATCAGTCTTAACACAGCCATTCTCCACTAGGACTTCTCCAGACACACCTTCAAAAAGAATAGGAGATTCAATTAGTTTTTTACAACAGTTTTCATTAAGTATTTCATTATCTAAAGTGAGAAATAGTTCTATAATTGTGAAAGTAACATTTATCTGGTTATGAAACAGGCTGAATGTAATGTAAACATAAAGCAAATCAGCAAGAAGATTTCTATATAGTTAGTCGTAGTGGTTGAACACTACCGCTTCTGTTTAAAGGGGCCACCACAATCAACACCAATATAAAGTTCCTTCAGCTTTAAAGGTCTGGTGTGTAGGATCTGGCTGTAGGTCAATGTCAATGGCCCTATAGAGCCAGAGCTTGGTTTGTCCCATCTGAGCTACTGTAGAAACATGGCGGCCGGCAGCATGAAGCTTTTTTTAAATCCACATTCCACATTGACCTTTATCAACCAAAAATGTCAAACATTCACTGGTTCCATGTTGTCAAATGTGAGGGTGTTATACCCTCACATTTGATTGTTATACCACTGCAAACTGGATATTATTGGGTTGTGGGGAAGTCATATGAAGACGTCACCTTGGGCTCCGGGGAATTATGATTCAGGCTAATTTGGGCCCCGAATGTGATTTTTATAGACATGACCAATCAAGTAAAATTACAAAACCACTAAATATCAGCTCTAAGAAATACAACATGACTAAAGGTTTCTTCTGATCGACAAGCGCATCAGAGGAACTGGGTGTGGAGGCCTTGAGAGGTGAAAACTTATCCGACAGGCTGTAACTGGAGCCTGCACTGTAACGTGAACACCAGCTGGGAAGCTAAGCTAAAGCTAGCGTGTCAGTCAGTGACCCGTATCCCTCCTGGTTCAGTCTTTGGTTGACGCAGAGGTATGTGGAGGTTTTTTCGACAGGAAGTACTGTCCGTGCTTGCTGACACTACGGGCCTCGAAAGTAAACACACCCTGGGTATAATTAATAAGCAAGTACAATTGGAAAGTAAAATACTTTTAAAGTCAACAGGGCCGAGCGTTTTTCCCAAATGGTTGACACATCAAGCCAGATTCTTACCCGAGCTCTAAACCCTGACCTGCAAGTTGTCTCGTCAGTCTGGCCAAAACAAAGCAGCAGGTCGGCCCCGTGCCACCGTGGAAATAATCTACAAATAAAGTCACAATCTGTGGAAACGCCTCATTATTATCACCATGTACTGCTGGAAAAAGTGCTTTAAATGTATATTAAAAAAATAAATGCGATGCCGCTCGTAAGGTTTTAACCATAAAGCATGAAACCGTATTAGCAGTGAACTGTGAGGCCACACCAACACAGACATGCATGTTCTTGTCTTCAGAAGTCCTGACGAAAACAAAAAGGTATTGTCGACAATAACTGAAACACCCATTATGAGCACACACGAAAGTCTTGTTCTACGAGTCGTGATATTATTATCAGCATCACTTTTAAACTTAACATGACATCACAAATGTGGGGAAACGCTGGTGTTCTAAGAAAGCAGTTCTTCGTTTGGGTTAAGACACAGTGTAACTTTGTAAGGGGCACTCAGGGGCCAAAGATTGGAATGCATGGTGTGATGCATATAATACAGGGCACATGACAAGTTGCCTGGGTTTCCCAGTCTGTTCGCCTCTTTTTCAATTCAGCTGTATATGCTTTTAACACATCAAAAAGTATATTTTTTGGCATTTCTCATGTTTTTAACGGTCTTACAAATACATTTTGGTGAGACGTCAACAAGTCCCGTCAGATAAAAATTCTAGTGCAGCTTGGTATTTATATGCAGAAAGACAACTAAGACTGGTATAGTCAATCACTAAATGTTAGGACTCATGGCTCATTAACTCTGGGGGTAAACATTACATTTTATCTCAAAGAATGCCACTCGATACTTTACATGTATGCTGAATTGAATACATTCTTCTGGCCAAATTAATGACTAGCTTCAAACAATTACGAGTCAAAGTATATGAACTTTGTGGTTAAATAAAAAATATATATTATAAAGTGGCCTTTTGTATTTTAAACGTATGCCGAATTAAATACTAGCTGTAAGTTATTCACAACACATGTCGTGGTTTATCTACTGTGTATATGCACAATATGTAATACAAATATATATAAATGCAGTTTGGCGTGACCTGTAATGTCAGCGGGAGAACCGCACACACAGTGTGAGGGCAGAGTTAATGTGCAATGTGTCAACAGTGACAACTACATAGCATGTGACGGCACGTCGACGTGACCTACCACAGCGGCTGTCTCTCCGGTCCTCGGTACCGCGGCTCGTGTTCGCCATGTTGCCGCCGGTTGATGCTACAGGTGGGCTGCAGGTATCCGCCGGCTGGAGCGGTCCATGATGATGTGATGATGCTGTGACACCACCGTCAGATCCCTGCCTCCTCAACGCGGCTTAAGAGCACACAAACAGTACCAGCGCGAGGTGATTAGTCGGGAGGAACACGTACATTAAACGCAGGCTGGTTAACGTAAACAACACGTCTATAGGACTTACTCGTTAAGTGCACTTGCTGCTGACGCCAACTCGGTGCTTGTCGCAGCGCTTCCTCAAGTGCGGTCAAATTAAGTTAAAACGCAGGAGACGTGTTGTTGCTCTCCTGGCATCACTGCGGGAGACGAAACGCTGCTTCAGTGTTCCTGAAAACAAGCGCATTTGTAAAGTTTATCCGGTATTGGTAACATTTCATACCTGTTTTGACGCTTCCGCCGCCATTTTAAAAAACAAACTTGTGCCGTTGAGTGCGGTGTAATCGAGTGACGAATGCTCACCGTCGATGGGTTTACCTGTCTGCAGCTGAAGGCATTAATAATCGACCTGCGTACTGTCCGTACAGACTCCTGTTAGGACGTTTTTGTAGGAAAGAGGAAATCCCCGGAATAAAATTGTTACACATTTGAAATGTGTTAACTGTCGTCATTTTTTAATATAATTTTTGTATAATAGCGAGTGTTTCAGGCTCCAAAATAGTGATTTCTGCCGAGATATTCCTAATATCTACATAACATTAATAATATAGGAACATTCTTCCTAAATGTAGTTTATTGGACAGCAAAATTGTATTGACTGAAATCCATCTTGACCCACCTGTTCAGTCACATTCCATTCAGCCCCGCCCCCCCAAAAAAATAAAGTCAATATACAAAATGTTCATAGAAACTTTATTTTTAATACTTGTTATAATCATTAGTACCAGATCACGCAAATTACGTTAAACTTAAGTATGTCAGCAATATATCAAGACATAGATGTATAACCTTATTTCTAATCTTATACAGATTACTAAAAATATGAAGTGAAGGCCAATGAATGCTGAAGGGATGGTAATATTATATTAGTACAACCTATTGGATGGATGCTGTAGTGTTCAAACAATAAACACAACAACTAAAATGTGTCTTTCAATGGAAATTTCTGACAAGCTTTCACAACAATATTAAGCATCAATAAAAATAGACTGAATCCTGATATCTGCTATGAATAACAAGCTGGTGGTTCCTCAGCATCGTCACCCTGTCCTCTAGTGTCACCATGAGGTCGAGGATCTGAAACGTGAAGCTGCTCGTGCCTCCAGTCTGAGAAGGCACCACCTTGGTTATACACTACATAACAAAATAAGAAAAACACAGGGGATTCATAGGCTGAGGTTTGGTTTATTCCTTTATTAGATGTTAAGAAAAATCCACAATGAAACAAAATAATTTTCTCAGGGTGTACATGAAATCAGAACAACACCACTACTCGGGACAGATGGGATTTTGGAACAAAGAGGAAGAGGAAGGAGAGCCGAGGTGTGAATGAAAAGACAAGGAAAACTCTAGTTTGCAGTGCGGGGTATGTTCTTCAGACCACAGTGCAATCACCTGTCAGTGCTGTTCCAAATGCATATACCCTCACTGACTGCATTTTCTCATCATACATGTTTTTTTGTTGTTTTTTTCTTTTAAGGCGGCCTATCAAAATGGAAGAATCAAATGGAGAAAGGTGTGATGCATTCCTTCCAACTCCCATGCAAGTGCTCTTTGTGACTCTGCTTCTTGCACACATTCACTCAGATTCACACACAGTCATGAACATTCTTCCAATCACTGAATTAACCTTACTTGTATTTTTTTAATTTTATTTTTTTAAACCAAAATATTTTGTTAAATCCAACATAAAAAAAACCGAGTGTGATGTTTGCATGCTGCATTTTTCAGAGATGTTTTTTTTTTTTTTTTTTTATATCTCAGGTGTCCTCTCACTCAAAATGAATCAACATGCAAAATGAACTGAATGACTTTTCACCGTATATTCTTGAATGTTTACATGCGCCATGGTATTGCATAGAACTCGACATTGCTTATGCAATCTACAATGGCTTAGTTCTTTTTTATTTCTCCCTTAAAACTAGCTATAAGTCAATGACAGTCTGTGGTTTGCTTGGAAAGAACCAGAGTTGTTCCGATACTGATGCTAGTATCAGAAAAGCTTCCGATCAGGTCCATGCACCGGTTCATATAAAGTTATAATATCACAGGATCTGCCCGATCGGTACGGTGCAACTCTCAACAGGGATGACACACAAGTGTGATGCCTTGCTCGTTGGCTACTTCCATGGACAGAAGCAGCTAACGAGTGAGCCGTGTCGCTTCTCTCTCATTTCTGTTGAGAGTTGCGAGCGAAAAGCGGAACATTAGCCAGAGCAATCAAAATGTTAGCGCTGGCAACAGTTTACACCGAACAACCTGTCAAACTAGTAAATAAAGGAAAGTTCAATGCCATTCATTCCCTGTATGCATTTGTCCGGTACTGGGCCGATTAGCAAGTTCAGGTGTCGGGAAGGAAAAATAAATGGTATCGGAACATCTCTAGAAAGAACTCCAGTCAATAACTTCTGCTCTACAATCAAAGAAAGGTTTGACATTAATGCATCAATGTGTGTAGATTATGCAGTATGCTCATATCAAAAGATTCCTGAGTGTCTGATGACTGTCAAAGAAAGGTGACAAGACCCTGAAGTTGGATTATCTTTCATTCAGCTACTTGGGGGTCTTTTTTTAAATTGAAGTGGCATTGGACTGAACAAACCTATGGTTGTGCAAACAATCTTTGCATTTTTTTTTGAACGAGGCCATTTCCAGAGTCATGCCTGAAATAGAGACCTAACAGAGAGTCTGCTCACACGTCTTTAATTGCCCGTTAATGGAGGGGGGATTTCAGTTGTCCGTTTTATCTTTATGGTATGTGACAAAGAAATCACCCCGCTACTGTCCTCATTACCCGTTTAGAAAGATTTAAAGGTGGACTTTATTCATTCTATATTTACTTTAGTATAATATTCCATTTCTGCCAACAGATCCCACTAAATGTTCCAACCTGTTCCTTTAGATCGAAAGAAAATAAAACAGAAATGCACTATTGAACTTTCAAAGCACGGGTCACAAGTAGGGCCAGTCCAACCACACCTCAAAGGGTTTTACAGCCAACGTGTTTCAAATTCAGAGGGCGCTGACGCGTTTGCATTTCTGTGAACGTACGTCTCTGCATACGTTCACGTTTCTCTGAGATAAAGTTCTAGTACACGCATTCCGAACCAGTGCCTTCACAAGTTCTGTTGCCAACACACACACACACACACACACACACACACACACACACACACACACACACACACACACACACACACACACAAAGTGAGACATTACTCAATATTTCAACAAGATATATTGTAAACCAAAAAAAAAATAAAAACACACCTTTGTATGAAAAAAAAAAAAAAAAAAGCATTTGTACCTTAGTGTAATTCTGCCATGTTTTTGGTTTCGCCACTTGTTTTGTGATACGTTTGTGTAGTTGAGCGTCTGTACTTCCTGCTTGTGGACCAGTGACTGAATGGATGTGTAGTAACGTGAGATTTAATACCTGCAGGTGTTTCTGCTTCGGCTGTTACAGGCCTGACAACTAAGAGGTTACCGTAAAGTCAAAACCAAGCCACATTAGGCAAGACCCGCCATCAGGCTTAACACTTTTCTTTTTTCTTTTTTTAAAATCACAATTTTCGCAAAAAAGGAGTCCGACGGTCTGGACTACAAACAAAACTAGGCTATGCTGTCTACTTATCATAGCCGGATTATGGAACTGCAACTTCAAAAAGGTTTTTGAACATATTTATAGCACCAAATAGTCTGTACCATAGAAATCAAAACAGTTTTATTCAGTTGTAACACAGGTTTCTGCAGAAATGGCTGTAGTCTTTTCACGATGGGTCTTTACCCCAAAACATAAACTTTTTTTTGTCTTTTCGTATTCCCCAGATTCTTTTACAGCATTGCATTTCAAGTAGATTAGTATTTATTTTTTTTCTAACAAAACGTTTGATTTCCTGTTTTTTTGTAAAGGATTTTTTAGTTTTTTTGCCTCACAAACCGTACTATGTCTACTACTAGCTCTGTCGGACTATCACCATTCAAAAATCAGACTCATTTATGATAACTTTTCACACACGGAGAGTTTAGGGATATTGAGAAGAAAGCTGCACACATTCTCTACTTCACATTCAGAAAGTCATCGCAACACTTTTTTTTTTTTTTTTTTTTTTTTAAATTAAACTCAAATTCTTACACAACTCAAAAAAAAAAAAAAAGGCCAGCATCCTTGTATTATTCTTTCCGAACACAAGATGGAAAGTAGAGGATGCGATAGCAGTCGTTTCACACAACTAGAAGAAGAGGAGTGAGACTGGCTGGACGAAAACACATGCACAACCATTCAGATACCACCGACGACCGGGATCCGAGCTCAAAAGCAAAAACGGTGGGAACAAAACCGACGAGGATAGAACAAAAGATTGTCCCTACTACCTAACTTTGAGACGTAAATGAGGACCAGTGTACAGAAGAATCAAATGAACACATTCTAAAAACGCTTAAAATGCACGTCTGCACATTGCGTCACTCAAAGACAGAACATATTTTTGGAGTTTTCCTATTTTCTCTCAATTTTGTTGATCCGATTGTTGATTACACACGGTTTTAAGTTAGTAAATGAAAACCTGCAGGGTTATGTGTGGGTGTTTTTTTTTTTGTTTTTTTTTCTTTTTTCTTTTTTTTTTTTTGGAGGAGTGTGTCAGAAAATGAGCCTACATTAGGTTTTCCAGCTCTGAGATGACCCTGAATCGTTGCTGGTAGAGGTCCAGTCACAAAAGGAGAGGATGGTTTCCTCTCTATGACGGACATCCTCTGCAGAACTGGAGTATTCAAATGTTGCTGCTCCCTGCAGAGAGAAGTCAGACAAAGAGGTTAGACTGTTATCCACGCTGCATCCGTTAGTGTTTTCAAACTGACCAGTCAGGTTCTGTGACACATAAATGGGGATACTATTTACATAGCTCACATATTGTGATGGCCAGAAGTATACAGGTCTGTCTCTTGGATGTAAAAGGGATACTTTGGATTTTGTCTTTAGTGAGATTGTATGTGTTTTTAAGCTTTGTTTATACTCGCGCGAGGCCTCCACGGATGGCGCGCAAGCTACAAGCACGGAGTTATCGGCAAAGCGCCATACACCATCCTCCTCAACGCAGAGGACTTGTAATCAACAGTAAACTCATATCTCGTATTCATGGACATACTTAATCTGCCTTTATATGATCCCTGTAAAGAAAGAGGTCAAGTATTAAATGTGTTTCTCCCTCTACTGTAGGCGATACACCCACTAAGGAGATGTACCTCATAAAACCCCACTTCAAAAATCCAAACTATCCTTTTATCACCTCGTCGATATTTGGCCAGTCCATCAGCCTTGTTTTCCATGAGCTCCTTGTGTGTCATGGAACCTAGGTCACACATTTCTATGTGATGCCAGAGACACATTACAATGAAGCATTTCAAGAGAGTGGAGAGTCAGAGTGGATCTGGCCTCTGTTCATCCCTCAATGACCATCATATTCAATTTCACATGCAATTTTCAATAATAGGGAAATAAGTGGCAGAGGCAGTGCTCACTGTCTCTTTGCTGGTGAATATAATTCTAAACAATGTAAATATTGTGCAATGATAACAATAATACATATTGTCTGTAGAGGGTTTAGTGGGTTGATCGATGCATGGTGCAAGATCAGTCACTTTCAGATCAGTTTTCAGCTACTACAGATATTTACCGTACATTCTGTTGTAGTTCAGGGACCGAGTTCCATAAGTCGTCTGTTGCCTACTGACTTCAACTGTTGTATATACTGATCATCTCTCAATTTGAAATAAAATAATTTAAAAAAAAAACAAAAAAATATGAACTAGTTTGTGTGAATGAAACAAGAAATATTTAAGTGTACCTGTACACTGAGATCCAGGGAAAAGGGGGGAACAGAGTGTGTTCTGCCACCAGCACTCGTCTTGCTGGTTGCCAGTTCCTCCCTGTCCACTCATATTTAACAGAGGGAACTAAACGAGACAAATGAGAAGTGGTTAGTGTGTTTCAGAGACATCACAGGTGGAAGACATTTTACAGCTGATGACCGGTTATGAAACACCGTGTGGTTAGGCCCGCACTTTTGTTTAAAGTCTCACTGATCACAAAATATTAAGAATGTTAGGGGACCATTGTAAGAAACCCTCACCTCTGGCACATCTCCAACAAAGTCATAAGCAATCCCATACTTGGGGAGCTGACCTGCTGGCCCAGACAAACAGGACTGCTTCTCCCCTGAAGATTCCTCATTTTGAACCTTGCCGACAGAGACGTCGGTCTGTCCACCTGCAGTTGATGCAGTTGATGCAGCTGCTGCCGTTTTGCAGTCTAAGCAAATCTCTTGCTCAGCGATTGGCAGGAGGGTACTGGAGCCCTCCTGTGAATCCAGAGAGGTCTGGGCACTCTTCTCCATGCCAGACTTCTTTAATCTGGGTAAGAATTTACCAGATTCCAGTTCTGACTTCCCGTAATAAGGGCCCTCGCATTCCGCATCCTCCTCCAGAGGTTTGAGATCTGCCTGAGGATCATCGAAGACGTCCAGCGGCGCCTGGACGGGAAAAGTCGTCTCCTCTTTGTCAGTCTCAGCCTCTGAATCACTCACTCCGCCAGGAGATAACTCCGAGGCCGATATCGGTCGAAAATGAGTCCTGGGGGAGATGCGAATGGCCCTGTACTGCGTCCGGTTGATGCCATATATTCGGGGGTGGAAGGCTTCGTTCTCAGAGTCCGAGCAAAGAATGGATTTGGGCTTGAACCCCGGACTGAACGAAGCCATGTCCTCGGGCTCAAAAGAACACTCAACATGGAGGACTTGAGAGAAGGGATTGTTCAGGTTGAAGGATGCAAACGGGTATTCTAAACCGTGCTCCTCACTTTGCAAGCCTCCGTAAGATCCAAGCAAATCTTCATGGAAGATAAAAGAAAATCCCTTATTCAATCCATCTCCGCCTCCTCTGATGGCCTGGTCACTCTGCCCGAAGGACACAAGAGGCCTCCACAGGGGCCTGTGCCCGGGGGCAAAGCAGCTGCTAGTGTTCATGAACACATCTGTGCCAGTGATGGTAAGCATGTCTGAGCTGGAAGCAGATGCAGCTGCAGCGGCACACTGTAGCAGGCTGTCCTGGGTGTCACTTGGCGGCACGACGGCCCAGTTCTTATCACCGCTTAGCGTCTTCAACTCTCCGTACACCCCTCCCAGGATGAATGATGTACTCTCCTTGTCAGAGTTCAAATCCCAGGGCTTGGACGGAGTCATGTAATCCCCAGCACCATCTACCTTGGAGAGTTTGTTTTTGGCTAAGTCCTGTTCCTTCTTGCCTTCCCAAAGGTGATACTCTGACCTCTGCACTGCTTTTTTCTGAGGCCCTTGAACCGGAACTTCTTTCGCCTGCACTTCCAGACAGCTGCAGCAGTAACCGCCTGACTCATCGGAGAATAGCCCCTCGCTCGGTTTCTCTGCTCCTGGCGTCGACATTACAGATTTGTCGTCTCCTATTGCAGTCCAAATGTCCTTCCTTATCCCTGAGCTGTAGTCATCACCGTGTTGGTTTGCGTTGTCCGAAAACATGCCAGTGCTGTACTGTTTACTCTCAACCTCTTCCAATGCGATACCACAAATGGACTCCAATTTGGATTTTTTGGTGAGGGTCTTGTTGGATGCTGTACTAACACCGACCTCCTCACACTTGCGGCCAGAGTTTTCTTGCAAAAAATCCAAGATCTCCTCCTCCAGATATGTACCAGAGAGAGGAGGGATTACACGATCAATCTCCTCATTGCCAATTTGAGCAGCATCCTCCGTCGGAACATTTCCTTGCTCGTTGTCTGACCGAGTCTCCTCTGAGTGGGACCACGGACTGCAAGTTCGTGTCGAAAGGTTAGAACAGTGTTCAGTTTCGTCAAAGGCACTATTTTTGGTCCATATTAGCAAACGAGACTGTTTATTAGAATGTGGGTCGAGACAGCTACTAGAATCTGTGTTGTTTTCGTGACCAATGGCGAGCGAGTCGCGGGGAAAAGGAAGAGTGGGGCTGTCATACTGCAGCTCGAAAAGAGAGAAGCAGGACGAGTTTAAACCAGACGGTTCACTGGTGGCTTCAGAGACGGTCGGCTCCTCCAGATTTCCAGACAGCTTGCTCAGGGTGAAGGAAACACTATCAAGGAGGGGGGAGAGTCGGATGGGAGAGTCTCCCACGAAGCTTTCTCCATCTATATCTTCTGAAGTAGCCGGCGAATAACATCCCCACACTTGAGCCATGTTTTTCAGATCCTCCATTAAGAATCCAAAAGATCCCGGAGCGTCCTGCGAGTTGGCCCGTATTGCACTTTTCCCTTGCTGCTCAAGGCCCTCTAACACTAAACAACATTCTGCCTCCACGTCTCCTTGCTCTTTGCTTTTTTGTCGAATCATGCTTAAGATCCGACTCTCTTGTATAGAGTCTGAGGCACTAGTATCCAATATGGATTGATAAATGTCAACTTCATAGAAGTGAGTGAATTCAGACAGATGCTTGTCATCTAAATCTCTACTATCCTCTGGCTGAGGGCAGCTTGAGGTCCCAGTGAGTTCAACAGTTTCATCTTCTGCTTCGCCGGGCCCTTCCACAAAGTGCCCATCCACAAACGAGCCTGCTGTTAGGTATGCCCTCTGGTAGCTCTCATTGGCAATGCAGATTCCCTGGATTCTCTCCGGCAGCCTCTCCATGTCGGTTGACAAAGCAAAGCCATCAGGAGAGTCTACCTTCTTTCGATATTTTGTTTCCAGCTTGCTTTGTCTGCTGCTGAAAGGTACAAAATACTCTGTGATGGGCTCAGTGTACCAAAGTGGCTCCTCCATGTATTCTTTTTTGTCTCTGGCCTCAGCTCCGAACTCTTTCGCCTCCTTCCAGCCTGGATCTTTTCGAATCTCCTTCAGAGGTCTCTTCCCCTTTTTGTAAAGCTGTGGTTGTTTGGCAGCGCCTCCAGTGGCGCTGCTGCTGCTCCCTCCTGTGTTCCTTCGCTCCTCTCTGTCGATTACCTTCACCTGAAGCTTCACCTGCCCGCTGTTGCGTGTTCTCTTATTCTTTGCAGCCTCCCTGGATTTGTGCCTGATTCTAACTGCCTTGCTTCTGGACGACTTCAAGTCACCCTGGTTCCCACTTGAGCTTGAACCCGCCTCGCTGGAGCCAGAAGACCAGGATCTGGGTCTGTATTTGCCCTCAGATCGGTGTCTCGTCTGTCTCTTGGAGTGGACGGTAGATTTCTCCTCTGCTGCTGCACCACCACCACGGTATCGATTCTCTTTCTCCTTCTTGCTCCGTCGTTGCTGGCCTCTTTCGTTGGCCACAGTGGTGATGGCGCCACAGGCTTCCAGGTTTCGCTCCCTTGCAGTCTCACCTTCACTGTTGCAATCTTTTGGGGAAGAGGTGTCTGTGCTGGTCTGCGGGGCTGCGGAGGAAGATGAACTTGAGTATGTGCAGGCCTTAGCCTTGTTCCACACCGTCATGATCTCTTGGAGACAAACAGGTTTCTCTGACAAAGGAGGAAAGGCTTCATAATACCTGCAGTCACAACAGACAAGAGAGACAACTTGACTTCAATGCAGTCACAGCAGTAGAGTTCACATAGCATACACTTTTTGTAAATACACATATTCATAGATCCACATTATCCATGTTGAGGCTTACATTTCCACCTGGTCCTTTGAAGAGGGGGACTCAGCTCGCTCTGGAGACTGAGAGCCATCAGATTTCTTTTGAATCTGTTTTTCCTCTGTAAAAAGCATTGAACATTAAGACATGTTATTGGAGCAATTGTTATTCCAAAACTTTAATTTTATAAATATGATGATGAAGGTGTGAACCAAACCTTTCTGTTTGTTTTGGATGTCCTTTAGTTTAGAGCAAAGCTCTTCAACCAGGCTCTCAATTCCAGAGTTCTGCACAAATGACAAAGAGAAGAAACTGATTTTTGAGAACTCAAACGTAATATTATGAACAGTTGATATCAATCTCGTTACATGATGTTCTCATATATTTGTGAACATGACACATAGGGATGCACAACTCAGACTTGTTCAGTCCCGACAATGATAACAATACCTGTGGTTTAGGTGTCAGCCGTACAGAGTACGATCTGGTACCCGTGTTTAATTAATGCGCCTCACTGTGTGGAAGTGAGGGGGATCATTCTGAATGTGTGCGTCAACATCAGGCTTCACTTCAATATTGCTTTCCTAACTTTGTAAAACTAAATGCAACATTCAAATAAATACATAAATTAGATGTAAATTTACTGAATTGTTATTTGTCATTAAAATAATAAAGAGAGGGTGGGTAAAACAAAATGTCAAAATGAACAGGAATTATAATTCTAGTGTAAACCTTTTTAATGCAGCAACAAATTAAACAAGAATTAAAAAGCAACTTGGTTCCACGTCTTTCTCAACAGGAGGGACCGATCCGTCATTTTTGCGATTAAAGGATGACACAGTTGCTGGTCAATATCATAGTAATGGAGTATTACTGGTACTATAGTATAGTGATATGTATTGTAGTGATCAGTTGACTTAACTAAATCCTGCCCAGAGATTTTAAGGGGCACACCGAGTAGCAGCCCTAGAGTCTTTGCAGAACTTTTGCCTTTTGTAAACAAATATATAATGCAATACAAAATACAAGCCATGAAGTAAACACAAAAGAATAATTTAGTTTCTTACTCCAAAACAACATGTGTAACAAGATCCAGTAGCCTTAGGTGAGAATGCCGGCCCCCTAATGTGACCCAAAAGAAAGAGTGAAAGGTTTGGAGTTGACACAAGCCAGCTGACTTGTGAGAGCTTAGGCATGTTCGGCCACGACAGCGCTATATTTAGCTATGGTGTAGAAGTGCTTTAAAAAAAAAAAAAAATCATTATAATAAAAAGGGCTAAGCAACAGTAGAAGTGATTGCCTCACTATGTTCTGAGACACTGAATGTTTACTACATATCCTGTTTAGCTTAGATCCCTCTCACATTGTGCAGCATGACGCGTGAAAAACAAACAAACACAAGCTTCCATCAAGTGGGCACCGTGGAAGCGAATGGCCTCAAAGCAACTCTCCTCCGCTACATAGCTGCTCCTCATTACCAACCCTGCCAGACACTTTAGCTCCCTCATTTCCTGTTCACTCTTCCAGAAGAGAATATTCCTTACCATGCCACCTCATGAGAAGCGAAGCAAAGTTTTCTCCTGCCCTGCGTTTCCTCTTGCATCATTGTGCTAATGCCGGTCAGCTGACAGCCGACCGACTACGCCGCTCACTGCTGTGATTCGTTGCAGTGTGTGCTGGTTAAAAAATAGACTGCAGAATCCAGTCCCCGGAGAGGAGCTCAACACTCCTCCTTTTGCCTCGCAGACCCCCCCCCCCCCTCCAGCTTTATGTTGTGTAACTCTCAACTAAATCACACCTCCCTTACTACTGCTGGCCACCGGTGAAAATGTCAGCAAATCTCTCTGGAGCTTTTTCAGTCACACAAACGGTATGGAAGAAAAATTTGTATACTTTTGGGACATGTTAGGATAGCATTTGCTTTATGTCAAGAAAAAAACAACTTTGAAATACTGACCTTAATATAACCATTCTAATGAAGACTAACTGAAGGTGTGGCCACCCAGGCAAACGAGGGGGCGATGCCTGGGCAATGAAGATCTTCCCTTGTTCAATGCTTTAGCCTTCCACATTGACATTCAGTGTCTACTCACTGTGATTTATCCAGTTAATATCTGCATGACTGCACCATAACAAACAACAAGGAATACTACAGCAAAACGTTCCGGACAAGCCTTCTGTACTCAGAAAGCGTTTTATCTTACAGTTTCACATAAGAAGGGGCCGGTCAAACTGTTCCTGCTTCAATGCACGAGTAATGACTCGCTTGCATTCCTCCAAAGCCAAAGTGATTCAAGTTAACTGTTGTTTTATACCACAGAAAAGAGTCAGACTGAGTGGTAATGATGCTTACCTCATCAGATGCAGAGCGGAGGCATTGCACAGCAGCTTGCTTCTTCATTTCCTCCAGACTCAGGTCGGTCCCTCCTTTCTTCTTACTCTTGCCCCATTTCTTCCCAGTTCCCTTCTCCCAGCCCAAGAAGATGTCGTTTTCCTTTTGCAAAAAAAAACAAAAAAACGGGAGAAGTCAGTCACAGTGAAACAAAAGAAAAAGCATAGAAAGATTACACAAATGATATAATAAATGACTATAAACATTTCCATACAGGCTTTATACCATCAGCACACACACACACGGTAAACTTGCATATAGCCTATTTCACACAGGAATGTGGGGTCGTTATTGTGCCTCGCCTTTCTGTATAAAAAGGTACGAACACAGAATGGGGGGGGGGGGGGGGGGGG